GCTATAAGAAAGAAAGACTCAGCTCGGCAAAAACTTAAGGCTTCTCCAAACAATTTTCGACTACAGCAGCAATTCAAAACCTTGCGATCTGAAGTCAAGCATATGTTGTGGAAAAGTAGGGAAAAGTTTTTCAACAATTTAGGAACTGACATTAAACAAAATCCAAAGCGTTTCTGGTCGGTTTTGAAAAGAAGCTCAAAGACAAGAAACATCCCTGACATTATTTCATCCACAAACAACGTCAACACACCTGGTGCAAATACAGCACAACGAACGGCGGCCGATAATCCAGATGGTATAGCAAACATGTTCAACCACTACTTTGCGTCAGTATTTTCAACAAAGAAAGCTAACGAGGAAGACGTCATTGAGTCTGACGAGCCAATCATGACTGATCTAACATTTAGTGAAGAAGAAGTTTCTTATGTGTTGAGATCACTTGATTCAAGCAAAGCAACAGGTCCTGATGGTATTCCTGCAAGACTACTGAGGGAAACAGCAGATGTGATAACACCTTCCCTGTGCAAGCTGTTCAATATATCAGTTATTTCAGGAACAATACCAGATGAATGGAAATTGGCTAATATTGTGCCCGTGCACAAGAAAGGTGACAAAGAGTATGCTGAGAACTATCGCCCAATTTCCCTATTATGTATTACATCGAAAGTTCTGGAACGCTGTGTCCTAAACAACATAAAAACTCGTTTGTATGATGCAGTTAACATGTGTCAACATGGGTTCATGGCCGGGAGATCTTGCATAACAAACCTCATCGACACTCTTGACTACGTTGGATCGTGTTTAGACAGTGGAGGACATATAGACATCATTTATATGGATATGTCAAAGGCATTCGACAAGGTCGATCATGATGTATTAATACGAAAGCTGCAGAAAGACTATGGTTTTGGAGGTAATCTCCTCAGATGGTTCCGTTGCTATCTAGAAAATTGTAAACAACGTGTTACAGTGTTAGGAGCAACGTCAGACCTACTTCCTGTCACGTCTGGTGTACCGCAAGGTTCAATACTTGGTCCAGCATTGTTCCTCCTCTACGTCAATGATCTGCCAAGCAATGTGAAGTCAAGTCGTGTTGCAATGTTTGCGGACGATACCAAAGTCTTCAAGGCAATACAATCGCCCAATGATGCAATAAAGTTACAGGAAGATATCACTAACTTGGGGATCTGGTCATCTGAATCTGGCTTACAATTCAACGAAGCAAAATGCAAGGCACAATCCATACCCGTAAAACCAATCCAATCCCTACCACCTATTTTATGAATGACGCTCCACTAGCATCAATTAAGCATGAACGTGATCTTGGTGTCTGGATATCTTCCGATTTGACATTGAACAAGCATGTCAACGAACAGTGTGCACAAGCAAATAAAATGCTTAGCTACATCAGACGGAACACACGAACAGTTAACAGCATTAAAACAAGAAGAACCATTTACCTGTCACTGGTACGATCACATCTTGGTTACGCGACGCAAGTCTGGACACCCCAATCTACCGAACTTCTGCTCAAACTAGAAAAACCTCAAAGACGTGCAACAAAATACATTCTTAATCTTCCATTTATTAGTTCAGTAAATTACAAATCCAGATTGCAAACTCTCCATCTACTGCCCATATGTTACTGGCATGAATACCTTGATATGATTCATTTCTTCAAAGTAACTCATGGCATTACCAGCTCGTCCTTCGCCTTGCACGCCAAGACAACAAGATATACAAGATCGTCAACTAACACGAAAGGTGTAAAGTACGAAGTCCCGCGGTGCAAAACAACAACCTACCAAAGATCATACTGGATAAGAACCATCAGAACATGGAACACATTGACGGTCATACTTGACTTGAGTATGGAGAACTTCAACGCATTCAAGTCTGTAATGCGAGAGTACTACCATACTGCATTAACAAACACATACGATTGTGATGATGTACGAACTTTTAAAACGATTTGCCCGAAATGCAATAGAGCAAGGACTTTAACAAACTCGATGAACTGTTGTTTTTAGTCTCTATGGTTTAATTGTTATTTGTGTTATTGATATTTGTTTCTTAACGTTTTGGGCCCGAAGTAATTGGTTTCAGGCTGTTGCGGATACCCAACCATCAACTCAGTTTATGTCATTGTGTTATGTATGTATATATGTGTATGTATGTGTGTGTATGTTTCTGTACAGTAGTGATGGAAAAGCAATTAAATTAAATTAAATTAAAAATTAAACTCAGCGCGTTGTCCTCAGCAGGTTGCGTTTGACCGAATAGAACTGTTTGCAGCAATGTGCAAAAAAGTTTTTTCCAACATTTTGCCATATCTCACGAACTATTGAACCAATCGAGCTGAAACTCAGCGCGTTGTGCTCAGCAGGTTGCGTTTGACCGAATAGCACTATTTGCTGCAATGTGCAAAAATAAGTTTTTTCCAACATTTTGTCATATCTCACGAACTATTGAACCAATCGAGCTGAAACTCAGCGCGTTGTGCTCAGCAGGTTGCGTTTGACCGAATAGCACTATTTGCTGCAATGTGCAAAAATAAGTTTTTTCCAACATTTTGTCATATCTCACGAACTATTGAACCAATCGAGCTTGAACTAAGCGCGTTGTGCTCAGCAGGTTGCTTTTGACCGAATAGCACTATTTGCTGCAATGTGCAAAAATAAGTTTTTTCCAACATTTTGTCATATCTCACGAACTATTGAACCAATCGAGCTGAAACTCAGCGCGTTGTGCTCAGCAGGTTGTGTTTGACCGAATAGCACTATTTGCTGCAATGTGCAAAAATAAGTTTTTTCCAACATTTTGTCATATCTCACGAACTATTGAACCAATCGAGCTGAAACTAAGCGCGTTGTGCTCAGCGGGTTGCGTTTGACCGAATAGCACTATTTGCAGCAATTTGCAAAAATAAGTTTTTTCCAACATTTTGTCATATCTCACGAACTATTGAACCAATCGAGCTGAAACTCAGCGCGTTGTCCTCAGCAGCAGTTTGCGCTTGATCGAATAGCAGTATTTGCAGCAATGTGCAAAAATAAGTTTTTTCCAACATTTTGTCATATCTCACGAACTATTGAACCAATCGAGCTGAAACTCAGCGCGTCGTGCTCAGCAGGTTGTTTTTGACCGAATAGCACTATTTGGAGCAATGTGCAAAAATAAGTTTTTTCAAACATTTTGTCATATCTCACGAACTATTGAACCATTCGAGCTGAAACTCAGCGCGTTGTCCTCAGCAGGTTGCGCTTGACCGAATAGCACTATTTGCAGCAATGTGCAAAAATTATTTTTTTCCAACATTTTTTCATATCTCACGAACTATTGAATCAATCGAGCTGAAACTAAGCGCGTTGTGCTCAGCAGGTTGCGTTTGAACGAATAGCACTATTTGCAGCAATGTGCGAAAATAAGTTTTTTCCAACATTTTGTCATATCTCACGAGCTATTGAACCAATCGCGAGCTGAAACTCAGCCCTTGTGCTCAGCAGGTTGCTTTAGACGGAATAGAACTATTTGCAGCAATGTGGAAAAAAGTTTTTTCCAACATTTTGTCATATCTCACGAACTATTGAACCAATCCACCTGAAACTCAGCGCTTTGTCTTCAGCAGGTTGCGTTTGACCGAATAGCACTATTTGCAGCAATGTGCGAAAATAAGTTTTTTCCAACATTTTGTCATATCTCACGAACTATTGACCCAATCGAGCTGAAACTCAGCGCGTTGTGCTCAGCAGGTTGCGTTTGACCGAATAGCACTATTTGCAGCAATGTGCAAAAATAAGTTTTTTCCAACATTTTGTCATATCTCACGAACTATTGAACCAATCGAGCTGAAACTCGGCGCGTTGTGCTCAGCAGGTTGCGTTTGACCGAATAGCACTATTTGCGGCAATGTGCAAAAATAAGTTTTTTCCAACATTTTGTCATATCTCACGAACTATTGAACCAATCGAGCTGAAACTCAGCGCGTTGTGCTCAGCAGGTTGCGTTTGACCGAATAGAACTATTTGCAGCAATGTGCAAAAAAGTTTTTCCAACATTTTGTCATATCTCAGGAACTATTGAACCAATCGAGCTGAAACTCAGCGCGTTGTGCTCAGCAGGTTGCGTTTGACCGAATAGCGGTATTTGCTGCAATGTGCAAAAATAAGTTTTTTCTAACATTTTGTCATATCTCACGAACTATTGAACCAATCGAGCTGAAACTAAGCGCGTTGTGCTCAGCAGGTTGCGTTTGACCGAATAGCACTATTTGCTGCAATGTGCAAAAATAAGTTTTTTCCAACATTTTGTCATATCTCACGCACTATTGAACCAATCGAGATGAAACTCAGCGCGTTGTGCTCAGCAGGTTGCGTTTGACCGAATAGCACTATTTGCTGCAATGTGCGAAAATTACTTTTTTCCAACATTTTGTCATACCTCCCGAACTATTGAACCAATCGAGCTGAAACTCAGCGCGTTGTGCTCAGCAGGTTGCGTTTGACCGAATAGCACTATTTGCAGCAATGTGCAAAAATAAGTTTTTTCCAACATTTTGTCATATCTCACGAACTATTGAACCAATCGACCTGAAACTCAGCGCTTTGTCCTCAGCAGGTTGCGTTTGACCGAATAGCACTATTTGCAGCAATGTGCAAAAATAAGTTTTTTCCAACATTTTGTCATATCTCACGAACTATTGAACCAATCGAGCTGAAACTCAGCGTGTTGTGCTCAGCAGGTTGCTTTTGACGGAATAGAACTATTTGCAGCAATGTGCAAAAAAGTTTTTTCCAACATTTTGTCATATCTCACGAACTATTGACCCAATCGAGCTGCAACTCAGCGCGTTGTGCTCAGCAGGTTGCGTTTGACCGAATAGCACTATTTGCAGCAATGTGCAAAAATAAGTTTTTTCCAACATTTTGTCATATCTCACGAACTATTGAACCAATCGAGCTGAAACTCAGCGTTGCGTTGTGCTCAGCAGGTTGCGTTTGACCGAATAGCACTATTTGCTGCAATGTGCAAAATAAGTTTTTTCCAACATTTTGTCATATCTCACGAACTATTGAACCAATCGAGCTGACACTCAGCGCGTTGTGCTCAGCAGGTTGCGTTTGACCGAATAGCACTATTTGCTGCAATGTGCAAAAATAAGATTTTTCCAACATTTTGTCATATCTCACGAACTATTGAACCAATCGAGGCTGAAACTCAGCGCGTTGTGCTCAGCAGGTTGCGTTTGACCGAATAGCACTATTTGCTGCAATGTGGAAAAATAAGTTTTTTCCAACATTTTGTCATATCTCACGAACTATTGAACCAATCGAGCTGAAACTCAGCGCGTTGTGCTCAGCAGTTGCGTTTGACCGAATAGCACTATTTGCTGCAATGTGCAAAAATAAGTTTTTTCCAACATTTTGTCATATCTCACGAAATATTGAACCAATCGAGCTGAAACTCAGCGCGTTGTGCTCAGCAGGTTGCGTTTGACCGAATAGCACTATTTGCAGCAATGTGCGAAAATAAGTTTTTTCCAACATTTTGTCATATCTCACGAACTATTGAACCAATCGAGCTAAAACTCAGCCCTTGTGCTCAGCAGGTTGCTTTAGACGGAATAGAACTATTTGCAGCAATGTGCAAAAAAGTTTTTTCCAACATTTTGTCATATCTCACGAACTATTGAACCAATCGAGCTGAAACTCAGCGCGTTGTGCTCAGCAGGTTGCGTTTGACCGAATAGCACTATTTGCAGCAATGTGCAAAAATAAGTTTTTTCCAACATTTTGTCATATCTCACGAACTATTGAACCAATCGAGCTGAAACTCAGCGTGTTGTGCTCAACAGGTTCCGTTTGACCGAATAGCACTATTTGCTGCAATGTGCAAAAATAAGTTTTTTCCAACATTTTGTCATATCTCACGAACTATTGAACCAATCGAGCTGAAACTCAGCGCGTTGTGCTCAGCAGGTTGCGTTTGACCGAATAGCACTATTTGCAACAATGTGCAAAAATAAGTTTTTTCCAACATTTTGTCATATCTCACGAACTATTGAACCAATCGAGCTGAAATTCAGCGCGTTGTGCTCAACAGGTTGCGTTTGACCGAATAGCACTATTTGCAGCGATGTGCAAAAATAAGTTTTTCA